GCACGAAATATAGACGTGGGGTTTGTCATTTCAAAATCAAATGAGCTCCCCCGGTTGTACAAATTCTGTGGGAATAGGGCTATCAGTGCTGAAAAGAAGCATGATAGGATTTTGCCCCAGGAGTCTCATTGTGGGCTGTGCTTATTATTGATTTAATATTGAACCGAATAGTGTTAGTGTCTGTGGTTTCTCAGGGATGATAGTAATGCTAAGAAATCAAATATTTCAAGGTCAGATGCAAACGTTACCCAACAGACTCCAACAAAGTGCTAAAGTATGTGTATCTCTTATTAACCAGGCAGATTTGGTGTGTAGGAACAGCTTGTGGGAGTCATTCATCTTATCAGCCCTTGCTGGAAATAGTCCAGCAATCTACCAAAATAAAAGCAAGGCTTTCCTCTGTTCCACTGAGTCGGTGTAACTTATACTGATGCCAGCGCCTGGTGATTTCTCCAAATGCTGCCATCTTGGTGACATTCTTGGGAGCCTGCTGCAGTTTAGAGATAAGGAAGTGAGGAATAGTAAAGTCTGTCCAGTGCTGTGATTAAGGACAGTCACCTTCCTGTGCGCAATCTTCATCTTGTGACTGATCTCTGCACGACTGAGGTCAAGTACATTAAAGACTCTAGCTCCGGCTCTGTGTATGTCAATCCGATATTGCATAAATATTGATGTCAAAAGACGTGCATTCACTAGCGGAAGAGAAGCTGCGGTGTGGGGTAGAATCGTACTCCTTATGACTGTTGGGATTTTATTTCCACTCTTTGTTCACTCCCTCCCTTCCTTCATAAGGGCACCTCATCAGATCGTTGGCCTCAATCTGTTCTAAAGCTCAAAGGTCACTCAATCACCAAGGACCCACACGTCAGGTCCTATCAGTAAACCTGGCTCCTGGTAGGAGGAATTAATTCATCTGTTTTCATCTCCTTGGACACTTTTCTTCATTTACCATTCAAAAAACCCCAAAACAAAACAAAAAAAAAGCAGACTGTGTGGAAGCCGAATAAAGTAAAAGCAATAATTTCCCAACCTCCTCTCCACACTTTTTGTTTTTAACGTTTTATAAGTTATGTGAACATATAAATCCAGACAATTAGTAGAGGTTGATGATGGCTTGCAAAAACGATATGTAGATATGCGCTGGAGTGCGTTTTTCATCACTCAGACTAAAGGAAGGACTGATTAGGTTTGGTGAAAGATCAAGGTGTCTGTGACCTCATGCACATCCTTTCTTGATAACACAATAAAGCCTGAGGGGATTTTGTGATGCTTCGCTGTTTTAAAATAAAAATGTTTTTGCCCATAAGTCAAGAGTTCATTTACTGATTGTGACAAAAGCACTCTCACATGTCTAATAGGATAAGATGATGAAGTGATGACATTTTATAAAAGTCAGACATGCATGGATCTGACCTGCTGGTTTCACTGGTTAGTTAACGTATACGACTTCTAGGCAGTAATTGTTTACGGCAGCTGACTCCCGTCTAAATCAGTGAGATCAAGCGTGGTGCTGACGGGCGGCAGAAAAGAGCGTAACAGATTTAGAGCAAAGTAATTTCCCTCGAGTATGGTAAGGTGTGCACAGTATTAAAGACAAAAAGTGCAGAGGCATGATGTGACAAAGATGCATTTTTGCAAATTTATGCAAAGGTGTGAGCGTGTGGGTGGCTTTTTTCTGGGGTGTTTTTTTTTTTTTTTTTGGGACACACTTGTAGCCACCACACCTCCCTTAAACACACCCACCACATGCCATGCCAGCTGCAGCTGTTGTGCCTCAATGCTGGAGATGTACAAAATTCCTCTCCCTCTGCAATTAGAGCTGGAGATTGCTGAATAGCACACATTGCAATGTCCTAAAATTGCTCTTGCTCTCCTTTCTTGCTCCCGAGAACTCTGAGTAAATAGAAAGCGATGAGAGCGAATCGCGAATAAACTGGCCCCGTCTGCCTCCGAGTTGACAGATTGTGTTTTGTGCGAGCTGCTCCTTGTGATGTGCCGTTACCCGGTTAAAGAAACCAAAGGGTGGAAAAAGGCCTCATTGATAGGGTGGGTTTCTCATGCCTGACTGGGAATGTTCGCTTTCCACAGAGTCAAGTGGTGCATTGTGATCTCAACCAAAGAAATGCAAATATATAGAACAGATGTACTACTTCTTTTCTTCCTCCCCCGTTTGTCGGCAGGAGTAATCTCTCACTCTGGTGGAAATTGTGTTGGGTGCACTCTGGGTGCAAGACTAAAGTGTTAACAAGGGAAAAGCCATGTCACCCTGGCACATGTGATGGCTGCCTGCCTTTCAGGGCCTTTTCTCAATAAGGCTAGATGCTCAGGAGAGATAAATGGAGGCTTTTGTGGCCTTTGCCAGAGGGAGAACTGCACAATGCAGGACACACACAGAGCGAGGTCTTTTCCAGAGAAAATGGTTAAAAGCAGCATTTCTACAGTCCCTCCTCCTTTCCCTCGCTTTCACTCACTCCTTCACTTTTCTCATGTCTCTCGCTCTTACCCGCTCACTCTCCAAATCTTTTCCTCCTCCGTGAGAACTGAACCTTGCTCCCATAATGTTTCCATAAAGGGGCTGAGGGAATGGAAATAACTCGGACCATTTCCCATCTCCTCCTTCTATCCATCCTCCCCCCACTTGCAGTCTCTTTACAGGGCTGTGGACAGTACCTAAACACACTGCTTTTAATGATATCGAGTGTTTTACACAGCTCCGAGCACTCGCAGAGTGCACCTCGTACACCCTGGTCTTTGCAGCCTTAATATAGCTGTGCTACTGCTGCTTGATCAGACATTACCAGGCCCCTCCACTAACAGGACTGCTTTGAACAGGATGGAGGTCAAATTGGTCTTCTGCCTGAGATTTGAAGTACCACTACACAGCCAGGAGACACTGCCTCTGAATTACAAGCTATTGTGCTCCTCTTTCACTATTACCTATCATCTTTTGTTATTAAGGGTCTCTCTGCCTTCTTTCATTCTTGCTTTTTCAAGTTAATTTTTACTTTTTGATACAGTCATTATTTCCCATGCCCACTCTGCCCATTCTTTTTTGTCCTGTCTCTTTATCTTTCCCTTCCCCTTTGTGACTCTTTGCATATTATTGTCTTAACTGTCGCAATGTTGCTGTCTGGGGTTTTACATGTAGATTTGCATGTCGGTTGTTGCCTGCATCTACCGGCCATCCTGCTAGCGCAGGGCAAACTCTCATGTGGGTGGCTGTCCTGGGAACAGATGTTTTTGGTGCCACTTGTAGGGGGAAAAGCTTTGAAAGCGACTCCATAAAAGAGATGCCAGCTGCATGACAAACTAGGGCCGCCTCGTCCTCAGGAATTCTATCAGAGCCATTTCTCTCTGAGCCCTGGAAACACTGCCTGTTGAGAATAAGCAGAGTTCTCACTTAATCAGCCTGTTCCCTTTGGATAACTTCATTAATTACAGAAGGAAGTTGTTCTGCTGGAACATATGCTCCAGATGGCCATAGACTTCACTTTTATAAAAAAAAAAGTTAATCTTTTATTTCTTAGTGTTGTAGTTAGATTATCTTACATGTTTCTTTCCTTCCAATCTCGTTGGTAGTAGACTTTCATTTTCAGCACCTACGACATTTCCAGCAGCTGGATTCATATGATCACTTAGCTTTTGCTGTACCAGTTGTTTTGTTTGTAGCGTACACCCAACTTCTCTAGCCAGCTGTGAAGCAGGCATCTGGCATCTTCTGCGGTCCTCTAAAAACACTGGAAACCATATCGTTAACACGGCAAAGTTGCCAGTGTCAGCTTTCCTTTGCTACTTTAATGCCTCTGCACACGTCCGTAGCGCAGCACCTCTGATTTGGCATCTGCGCTCTTTCCCCTGCCAAACTTCCAATGAAAAGCAGCTCTCTGGCCAGTGATTATCATTCACCTGCTAATTTTAACCACTGCACTCGTCACAAACCCTTATTATGTCCCTTATGGATGAAGGACGTCATCTGTGCTGCACACAAAATGCACTGAACCTGAACCACTGGTGTTGGCCAATTTTTTTTACCAAACTAAAGTTAGGATGAGTGCTCGCCTCAGGAGATCCCAGTCATATGTTTATTGGTAATGATATACTGTGTGCAAAAAATGAAAACAACTTGCTCAGATAAGATATGTTCAGCAAGCCAGTGGCAATGTTGTACTGTTCAAAAATTAATCTATGGGTTTGCTCAGCAGTGTGATTATAGCAGCAGGGAATGAAGTCTTCTTCATCTGGTATAAACAGAGATACGGTTGCAAAGCAAATGATTTGGGAAATGTGGTGCTCAGATTTTAAATGAAGCATTATTTGTTGTCTCCCATGTATTGGGCTGTAAGGACTGCCTAAGAGGCTGAAAACAAAAGTTCCCTGAACAACCACTCGACCACTCAATTTACAGCTGAACTGAGCATTTCCCTCCTCATGACAACATGTAGAGGGGTGTGTTGTTGTCTGACTCATCCTTTTAAAAAGTTTAAAAGGCAAATTTAATGTTGATTATTAAAGTTGTGGCCATTTTGAGTGACGGGGGAGTCAAAGGAACGGGGGGGTTGCACAGCTAGCTGTCTGCTAGGCTAATTTGAGTCACTGAACTGGACCTTTGTCTTGTTGTTTGGAGCATTTGAATACAGTTATCTGACAAGAAGATGGATGGCTGTGTGGCTGATCATACTAGCAGACAAAAGAAGTCTGTGTGTGTAAGTGAAGTTCTAGTTTTCCTCTTTTAACCAAGCTAGCTAGCTTGGCTAACAAGATGCATTCTACAAGCTAATAACCACAACTGGTAAATGGCCTGTATTTGTATAGTGCTTTTCTAGTCCTTAAGGACCCCAAAGCGCTTTACACTACATTCAGTCATTCACCCATTCACACACACATTCACACACTGGCGATAGCAAGCTACATTGTAGCCACAGCTGCCGGACACAGGCGCCACCGGGCCCTCTGACCACCACCAGTAGGCAAACATGGGGTTAGTATCTTGCCCAAGGATATTTGGCATGCAGGCAGGAGGCAGCCTGGGATCGAACCACCGACCTTCTGATTAGTGGCTGACCTGCTCTGCCACCTGAGCTACAGCCACCCCAACTAGCACGCAATAAGTGCTAGCACTCCACCGTCTTGTTTAAAAGTGGTTAAAGCCATAAGGTGAAATTCGATGCTTCAAATTGGGTCTTCACAAACCAGAGATGACGCCATGGCAACTGCGTCCATATTTTATATACAGCTTATAGTATTGACCATCTAGCGATGTATTTCAATCATTTAGACATCCAAATGGCAAAGTTGTCTAGTTATTTTGAAAAAAAATAGCGTTTTAGTGTATTTTTTATTTACCTCTTCTGTTAATCATCTTACAACTGTTTGAGAGCTTTGAAACCATCACAGCTACATTGATATTCTCTTGCACATCTGGCATCTTTTTGGCTCCCCTCTTTTTATAGACTATTGATTTTCTCTTTGTGTTTCATTTGTGTTTGTTTTGCCTCAAACTGCCTGAAGCAATAATGCGTGTTTCCCTGAATTCTCTGACTCACTGCTGATCTCTGTGCCCCTCTCTCCTCCTTTCTCCTTTCCCTCCCTCAAGTTTCCATCTTTGTTCAGAAGGGAGGTCTGCTGTCACTCAAGGCTGTCATGTGCAGAAAAAGTTGCCTAGCAACAACATAGAGGGATGCAGAGCTGCTGTTTACTCTCCACCCGCTCACCTCATGTGCCCACTACCCCCTTCTCTTTCGCTGTCTTCCCCTGTTGTATAGATGGAGTGTTATGGATGGTGGAGGCGGCAGCGCAGCCTCTGGCTCTTTGGTGAATTTGGACAACAGATACAGAATAAACTGAGAGAAGGTGGAGCGAGGGAAAGGAGAGGAGGCGGGGAGATGGTAGGGGAGTAGTGACATTCAAGAGATGATGTGTCTGCCTGTTGCCTGCCAGCTGCTATTCCTGCCTTCCTCTCAGCAGGGGAAACTGGCCATTTTCCTTACAGTACCCTCTGTACATAACTAAAAGAGAAACTTGTGCTCCCACAGCCTGCTGTTATCAGCCAGACTAAAAATACTGAGAAGCAAGTGTATCACATGCCTGGCTATCGTCACACGCTCATGAAAAGAGGCTCAATCTCAGCAGATACAGGTACCTTTGATTCTCTATGGGTTATTAAATGTTCCCTGGTGGAAGCAATCAGGCAAACCCCTTTGTTAACTTGTTTACTGTAATTATATAGCAAGGCTCAATGGGTTCCTCACGGCCATGCTGAGGAAAGCTGCAAGTTGGCTGTGGAATGACACGAGTCACACTCAAGGTTACTGAGAATCAAAATGCTTCACAGACACAAATAATCTCAGTGTCGAATTAGTATTTTTATCCATCGAGTCGTTTTATGAACGCTCCAAAGCTTTTGACATCAATATGACGAAAAGGGTTGATATTAAGTTGTTAGTGCTGCTGCTGTATAGACAGCTTTATTTAGCCCAACCTTTTTTGTTTATTTTTAACCACGCCTAGCTTAACAAAACAAATCCTACCCTTGCTCTGCCATAGGTATGATATAGTCTGGGCTGTTTTATTTTATTTAAATTTTATTTTATTTTTTAGTTGGCTTTTATTCACTTTCTTTTATGTAAAGTGGCATACATGGTGTAGATGCCCTGTCTGAGACCAGAAGGAAACACAAGCCCAGACTCAAGGATACACAAGCTGGTGTGTTCCAAGTGTTCGCCCTAATAAATCGGATGTTTTGTTTCAAATCAAATGTGCAGCTCCAACCACTGTGGTAACACCTGGAAAACACCTTTTTTTCTTAGCTTCTCTGGAGAAAAAGCTAGCAAAATTATTTCCTTTAAAACTTCATTAGGTGTGTAATATATTAAGTTATTAGCTACAAGTGGAAGAATGCTTCGCTTGTCTTTAAATCTACGTAAAGAGTTGAAAAAGTTTATGAGATTAACTCAGGAAATCAACAGTTTCGACCAGATTGCAATTTTCTACAGGAATTAGTGTTTGAATAAAATATATTGCACCTTATTGATGGAAAAAAAAGTGTCTCTTCTGCCACTAAAACTACATTATTTCGTTATATTTCAGCTCATTCAGAATGGACCAGATGGCCACTAGCTTAGACCCCAATTTTCAGTATATTTCCTTAAATGAGTCCAAATTCTTTCTGGAGTGTTTGAAACATGAGCTTAGAAAAGATGTTATTTTAGTGTTTTGTGAATGTATGCTGTTCTGCATGCGTATCCGCTTGTGTAATGACTACCTTCACTATGTAAATTACCCATCAAACGCGTCCGTCAGTGTGCAAACGAGCAGCGTTTGTGGGATTGTGCGTTTCTCCACAGGCCCTGCTTGCACATGTGTGTAGGCTGATGAATAGTTTGTCTGTTTGCTGGGATGCAGTGACAAGAACTCTTAAGTGTTACCTCCTGTGGGCTTCCCACTCTTCAAATAAAACTCTTTCCTTCCCCTCAACTCAAATCAAAGCTGAGAACCTGCCTGCAGAGGCTGGATCAAAGGAAGACTGTGGCACAAAGACTTGTACCCTCTGCCATTCATTCAACTTGATTAAAGTCTGTCATTTCCTGCTATTAACACGTTCCTACCTCCAACCATAAACTGAGCAAAGCCGTTATCAGGAAGTGGCTAGAGTTGTCACTATGTTTGGGTCCTTTCAATTAAATCCCCTGAAGCTTAATTATGTAACATTATATGCTCTTTCTGTAGCCTTCCTGTGTCTCGGGAAGGCTGACTTTTTGAGAAATAATAGTTTCAGTTACATAAACATATTTACAAATAGTCGGTTGTAGTTACTAAAAAGGCACAAGTTCAGTTTTTAAGCCACTCTTCTGCAGCAGTACTGTCCTCAGTGGTGTAGGTCACAGTTATTGCTCTCCACACCCATATTTCAGCCACTCCTTTACAGATTTCCAACCAGCCTCCTTCACTAAATCCATATTAGAGCCTTGACACAGCAAGCTGACCACGGGTGACTCTCATCAACAAACACTTAATGGCAGCCTAATGTCGAAAGTGAAAATTACAGTGCCATATGCAACTTTTTTTTTTAATGGACTACCAACTTGGCAGGCACAGAGAAGTGATCATCTGTAGTGTTCACTGTGCAACTTTTATGAGATGATATGAAGCAGCACATAAGTTAATCTTTGTTGGTTGGTGTGTGTGTGTTTGTGCACGGGAGAGTGTGTAAACCTTAAAACCACAGCTGTTTGCTTCAAAACACCAGAGAGGGGTGTCCTGCAGAGTTCTGTTTTCATACATTTCTCTTCCTTTCTTGCTCTGAAGACCATCATAACCTCACCCCTCCCTGCCTCCCCTCGTGTCTGGTTGCTGCAGTCTCTGCTGCTGATGGGAAAAAGTATGCAGTGCTTAGCATATGGCATGTGGATAGAGGGATTATCATTTTTGGAAAAAAAGAAAAAACCATGCCTCCTCCTGGGCCTTTCTCCGCTTATCTCTGTGTTTAAGGTGGTCGTGGTTGCTGCTAGCTCTGTCTGCCAGACAGACCTTTGTACCAAGCTGTAGTTCATAAGAGAGAATGGATAAGTGGATTCCTGCATCTCCCATCACTCCAAATGTCAGCCATCATGAGGAACTTGGAAGGTCACAGGCTTGATCTGGGGATCTTTTCCTGGGAACAATAGCTAACCCCCCCAATTTTTCTTTTCTTCTTTTTTCCCTTCCATTCTTGTCCTTCCTGTCAGCCCGAGAAGCTCTGAATGTCACGGTCCATTCCCTGCCCCCAACCACCAACACCAACACTCAGCATTGCTCCCCACCCCAACTCTTAGCCAACACAGCCACCTACTTTCCCTTACATATGCTAATGCTGCAGCCTCATTCAGCTGTTGGTGGCTTTGTCACAGGGGGGAGGGCTGTGTGCATTAAGGGGCAGCTGTATGCATTTCACTAAATTGACTCCAAATAGCTGCCAGACTTGTCCTGATTTTACTCTCTCCTTCTCTTCTTTATACCTTTCTCCATTTTTCTTTCCAAGCTAGCTGTTAGTAAAGGAGCAAAAGGAAGGTGCTGCAGTTTATTTTTCGAGGCTTTCTGCCGTGGAGTGTGTCGGGTTCCTCTCTTTCTTTGTGTGCTTTTGGGTGGCTTGTGCTCAACAAGTGGCTGATGGATTTAATGCACTTGGATAGCATCTCCACAGTGAGCTCATTACCACAGTAGCTCACAGGTCTCTGTTCTTAGAATTTATGGCTCTGATGAAAAAGGACTCTATTAATCAGGTAAGCATGGCAACTATTTATCTACTGTTGCTTTTTCATTTAATGGCCTCACACAAGAAAATGGTGTAAAGGCTAAATAATGCACGTTAGTTAACATGAACTTTTGTTTGAGCAGCATCAGCTTCATAAAAAGTGGAGTACGGCCTTTCTGTGTTTCAGACAGTTCTTGTGAGGTGAGTGATTCATCTGTATATCCGTGCTTGCTCCTGTCTTTCGTTCACATCCACTGATTGACTAAACATGGTTTTGTGTCAGCAGCACCGGGCTGACGGTGAGGAAGAAACTTTGAAAAGGAAATAAAAAGCTGCTGCACTGAGTACAAGGAGGGAAAGACGGTCTATGGCGGCGACGCGTGCTGAGGTCGCCCTGCTGTCAGGCTGCATAAGTGCTGCTGCCCAGCTGATGCGTGTGAATGTGTTTGCGTCAGTGTGTTGACTGTCTTAACCGCGTCAAACACCTACTTCCCCTCTCTCGCCTGTGATAATGTGACAGCGTGGACTCTGCCTGACCTGACAGCAGAAGCACAGATCTTCTGAGAGCTTTCGAGCTGAACACTTTCCTTTTGCAAACTGAGAGTTCTCCTCTCACCGTTTTTCTTCTCCTCTCCCAGAGAGAGTGTACTTTTCTGAACAGGCTGCCATTGGTATGGCTGTAGCTAAGAAAGCAGCAGGCTGCTGGGAAGTGGCGGGGTGGGGGATGATGTGTGCTGATGGAAATAGGTGGTGGTTTATTCTGGAGACTTGCTGGGCCACATCAACCCTGCATGTCCCTTTCTGTCGCCCCATAGCAGAGAGGGCCGCTGTGGTTAGGCCCAGTTTGCGGGGGACAGATGGTCCCTTTTGGAGAAGAGCCACAGCACAGAGGTCTCTGTTCGTGGGGCTCCACCAGAGCAGCCAAGAACAAACACGGTCTCCTTCTGTTGGGAACATTCAGGAGCTTCGGTCTGTGAGACCTAATGGATTCAGGAAGTGACATCTAAAACTTTGCATGCGTGTTAGGAGTGTGACTGTGACGCTGATAATTTTGAATGACCTTTAAATAAGTGCTTTGTGAATGCGCTGCTAGTCAGATTTCCAATAACACTGCATTCAATTAGTCATATTAGTCAGTATTCTTTAGTATTGCAACAGAGGAGAGAACGGGGGACACTTTGTCTTTGTCCGTAGCCAAGTTTGCAACATTGCTTTAATCTTTTAATTGGTGCATTGTGAGCTTTCTGTCACTTTCCTGCAGTTCTTGTTCTTTGTTTCCATGCGAATAAACAGGGAGAATCTGTTGTCCTGTCTATTTTAATTCTCAGATCACCCTGAAACAACTAAAGGACAATGGCAGTGTGCTGCCCGGCAGGCGCTGGGCAGACGGCCAGCTGGCAGAGCGACGGGGTAGGAGACTCCCATTTTCAAGCAGAACCAAGAGGAGGCTTGCCTCTCCTGCACTGCTTATAGCCAGCACCATGATTATTGTGCTCCTTCTATATGAGCTTTAGTCCGAGCAACTGGGGCTCTTTTCCAGAACATAGCTTTGACGCATAGCTCAGCTCCACACCTTGTCGATGTGATGCGCTTAAGCTACCCCTTGATGGATTGCTGTTAGTAATTATGTTAATCTTGGCATGTAAAGGTCATCATTCTAGTGCTGCAGTGGTAATTTTATCAATGGCTGTCATCCGTAATGCAGTACTTGGCAGTGGAATTTAAAGCCATGCAGCAAATTCATATGGGGTATTTTATACTTGCACTGGAAATATGACAAATTACTTGAGGGTTGAACTGTCAGCTTAGTTGCAACCAAGCTTCAGAGCTTTTGAAGTGCTTTAAGAGGATGTGTTTTGATGTTTAATGAGCCCACAGCGTATAAAAACACTAAGTGATTGTTTTAGAGGCTCTTAACGTACATCAATTTAAAACATGCTTTATAACTTTGCAATGCAGACAGTGACTTTAAAGCCATGTTTATATGAAAAAAATCAATGCGCAGTCATGGTTTGTTTTTGTTTTTTTGACTCTTGCATTGTATATTTCTGCAAACTCTCTATTGAGCCTTTTATTTTTTTATTTTTTTTTAATTATTTAAACCATTCACGTCTTGATTTACTTTTACTCTCTATGTCTTTGTATTGTTCATCACCCAACCTCCCCTCAGCTTCATTTCTTTTAAAGTGAGTTACAGGTGTTTGGTTTTTAACCACGAGTAAGAGAGAAAGCCAAATTTGTAACTACCAAAACTTTTTAGCTCTCGATTCTTTGTCATCTCCTTAGAGAAGACTTATTAAAAAATTTCCAGCCAGGTTGTAAGCGGTTACTTGACGTGCTGACATTAAAAAGCTTGGGTGTTGTTAGTGTCGCTATTTTTATCTTTAATTGTGACTGAGATGAAAATCAGGCGACACTGTAAGAGTCAAATGCTGGTAATTCCAAAGCGTTAAGACTCCATTTATGTCAGCTGTAATTGTGTTGTCTTTGTATTTACCCCTTAGCCAAAGTTCACTCTACAGACTCACAATTATTTAGGCCACTTTGCTCTGGTGGAGCCTTTTTCTTTGTCTATAGTGGAGCATATGGTAGATATTACGGGATTTGAAAGTGTGCAGGAAATGAAAAGAATTCCCTTTTTTTTTTTTTTTTTTTTTTTGTAGTTTCTGTAAGGTAAATACTCACTGTTCCCTCAACCAAGTGAAATAGAGTCACATCGTGGTTGACCCCTGAGCCTCAGACTCAGCTGTAGCCAGCACATTCCAGATGGAGCTACAGCCAACACAAAGCAGAGCAGGCTTCAGGGCGCGCTGGTGTAGGAAAACGGACTGCGTGTTCATGTTCATGTAAGCCGCCTCCCTGATAAGACTAAGGCTACAAATAACCACCGGCCCAAACCGCAAACTCCACAGCGAAGCAAACGGCTATCTTTTGTTTAATTGTACATTGTGAGAGCATAGCTGTTGACAGATGAGGTGTGGCTCGGTAACTGCTGGAGGACCGTCACCTCGGGTTAGAGCTGCAGCCACAGAAGCAGATTATCAGATTCGGCTCAGCTCGGAAAATGTCTCTACTGCCACTTGTATTCCAGCCGTTTTCCGTCTTGTGTCTGTGGAAAGCCGTTCAATTTTAGGATGCTGTGGAAGTATAAAAGTCTGATTCTGGTATGAAGCAACTTCCTCTTTGAAAAGCTTCCCATCTAGTCCACTTGATCCAGAAGGGAAACAGGTGAAAGGATTTTTACTTGAGTTTTATATAGATCAAAATGCAGACAGAGCATAAAGAGACTTCTTTTGAAGCTGCACTTATGCCAGAGGTTAGATTCCTGCAGATACTTTGGTGGGTGCTTTTTGGTCTTTTTTTTTTCCCCTTTCCAATAACTTCTTCACTCCTAAAACCTGTGCACCTGCGGCACTGACTGGGCATTAGTAAATGTGGGCATTTCCCACAGTGCATTGTCAGGCTGGGTGAAGGGTGAGTGGGTGAGAGTATAGTTTACTCTGTGCTGTCTGACCTCCTTTTTTTTTCTTCTTCTTTTAAATCTTTCCTACTTGTTCGTCTTCTGTTGGTTCAGCTAAGGTCTGGATGCGCTGAGATATAAAAAAGAAAACAAACCTCTAATTGTCTCTCATGCTCCTGTGGAAGTTGCTTCGCTTCAGAGCCTCTCTCTCCACAAGCACACACCCATATGAACTCAGGCTCCACTCTTTTGTAACATTTTATGTCTTTAATCTCCGCTGCTGCTGTCATGCCAATCATCACTCTCTCATGAGGTCACTGCATGTGTTTGTGTGGTTGTGTAATTATGGGCAGTGCCAGGCATATTGGATTTTGTCAGACTTTTCAGCGGTGATGCCCTTGTTTCTGTAGATGGTTTGCACTGTAAAAAGCCCAAATTCAAAATGAACGTTTTTGTGTGTATGTGTGTTTTTAGATGCATTTCTTCTAAGCTGATATGACCTAAAAGGGTAAATATCAGGTTTCCTCTACAAAAAGTTTAGTTACCAAGTGAGTCAACAATCTTGGACTGAATTCAGTCTAAATGTGGAGCTAGATCACGGAAAAATAGGAGTCCAGGGACTGTCCTTCAGAAAATCACTTCATGGATGGTGTCATTCTTTCTGGCGCATATTTAAAAAATGACACTTGCCAAAGAGAGTAGCACTCTGACATTATTAGTATAGCTGGCCTGTCAAGACAACTTCTGTGTTTGAAAACACTGGTGAAATCAACTGTAAATGTCAAGTTGAGAAAATCTGGTATAGCAGGTTGTGTATTTTCCATAGAAACGACAGCAACTGTTGGTTCCAGAAAGCTTGGGGTGACACAGTGTACCAGCTGTGTATATATGCCAGTGCCTAGGTGATAATAGTGCATTAAAGGAAATGGAAACATGTCTAAATATGTAACAAGAAAGTAAGTGGAACATTCTTTTTCACAGCGACCCAATGGGTAAAGTAATACAGTACTTTTAAAACGTATCTTGAAGTAGATACAGCACATCACATGGCAGTACATCATCTTTGCTTATCAAACAGAAGGTTATGAGTTGAAATCCAACCCTGCAATAAAACACCTGGGATGTTGTTGGTTTTTTTTTTTTTTTTTTTTAAATTAGTATCGCAAGTGCTGCTACTCTAGATGCGTGACTAAATATGAATAGTGACGTTAAATTTAACCCTCTCAGGCTCAAATTAGACTTTTTGTTGCTAATGCACAACCAAGTCCTGCAGTGGTACTTCTGAGTAAAAAAAAAACAACTCATAAAATATGTATGTGGGGTAATCAGGTTGTTAGTTTTTAACTGTTGCAAATCTGCAACGCCTGCCTTGAGAGGGTTAACAAGCTTACAATGACCCTTTGACTGAAGTTCTTAATTTGTTTTTGTTTGAGCTTTTACAGCGTCGGAGGCTGTGCACAGTACACATATGGGGACTATGACAGAAAAATGAGATGGCAGATTAGTACTAAAAGATGTTGGTGCTGATGGTACACTCATAGACAAATGTTCTAACAGTCTACAGGACA